TATCTTTTGCACTGATGTGTTGGGCTGCAGATATCTCTGCACGAATAGGTACACTGCCACCTACATCTACCAGCTCCTGCAGAGGATCTGCAGCCGTGCAACTTGGGAGGAAGTGTGTGTTTATGGTATTGAACTTGCTCATTACTGACTCCTTTCAATCTCAACTGAAGACAGGTGCGGTATATCCCATTTGGAAACCTCCAAATGCATTCAGGAGTTGAGGGATGCTCTTCCCAGGAAATCTTATCTATTTGTCCAGTTCACTGTGGACACATATTGTCTAAGCCATCAGATTTGTAGCCATTGCTGGACTCCCTAAAGGCCATGGGGCCATTTACTCCATGCATGTTGCTTCCAGAGCTCCATCATTCAGTGAGATTCACTCGTTTTCACTCCCTCAATGTCCAGTTTGTCTGTGGTCACAGGCAACAATTTCCGCAGGAGTATGCCTGACTTCCAGGGAGCTGTCAAAATGCGAACATTCTGGACATGCCTCAAATGTTCACTCCCCTGCATTATCTTCAGGGATAACTGATGCGTGACAATGTGTACCCCTGAAGGCATGGCTAATGATTCTGCTAAGTAACTCTCAGACTGATGGTGAACATTGCTACAACACAACACATTCATCCACTTGGCCTCTCATTGACCAAACAATTGTTCTACTGAAGTTGCACTTCTGTCTGCTGGACTACTGAGAAGGAACACTCCAGTACATGCTCTAGAGTGGTAACTGTTTGCTGTGCCCTCAGTGATGGGGTTATAAATGAGATGGACCAGCATTCGCTCCTGGATGAGTTAAAAATGGAGTCCAATGGGGTTGCAGAGGGCAATGCAAAGTGATGCTCCAGATGCACACAGGTAGCTTGTGGACATACTTTCCTGACTGTATTGCTAGTCAATGGCTCCATGGACTGGCAACATCTGTGTTCTGGGTATGGCTGCACATAATGCATGGGTGAGTACCTACAGTGGTCAGCAACCTTCAAGAATCGATAGAAGAGAAAGAGAACCAATCAGAAGCCTTTAACAGTTAGAAATAAAAAATCACACTAATGGTGCCGTATTTATGAACAGTGGTTGACTCTACATGACATTAACATCCCAATTGATTTTTTAAATCTTTTCTTTAATCTTTTCTCCTACTACAATGTGTAGGGGCTATCTCCACAACTTGAGCCTGAAGAAGCCTGATAACTGCTTTGCCAGCTTGCAGCAAATGACTGTGGAGGATGTGCTGTTGTGGTCAATGCTTCAGAGAATTCTGTCCTGTCAGGGCTCTCTTGCACAAATGCAGCTGCAAGCTTCTCAGCCTGATCTTCTGGAGGCAATTGTGTCCCTGGCAGGGGGCAGGCAGAGAGGTGAGGCACCTCCGGAACATCCAGAGATGACAATCCCAATCTTTTGTGTGGCAGTCCTCTACATCCTTATTGTGCTAATTCACACTCATTGAAGCATGAAGCATTGAGTAAGCAATAACACCTATCCTAGCCATGGATCCATCCTGACCTCCATGATGACCTCACTCCAGACTGCCTTTGTCAGTCCAAGTGGCCTCCTATTGCCACCCCATGGAAACAGTAACTCTCTCCACTCCCACACGACTTGCAAGAGATTGATTAGAAATACCTTTCTGAATCAGGGAACCACTTTCCAACTGGTTTCAGACATCTCTAGAGGTGACTAACCTGAGAATAGCTGATGCTCCTGGCTTGCACAGATTGTCTTTTAAATAAGGTGCCCAGAAGTTAGTACCCAGGAATTCCTGGCAGCCTTCAGAACTTACTGACTGTAAGATTCAGCATTCACCTCATACATACATGTGCAATGAGCAAAGGACATAAACATGTGATACAACTGATCCACAGCCCCCACCATGGCTGAGGCACCACCTGCTGTGGCCCAATGCTACACTTAGTCTCAAAAACAAATTCCTCCCATTGTAAAGCATTTTTCTAAAAAATGGTCTTTAATTTTAGAATCCCTACAGTGTGGAAACAGGTCCTTTGGCCCAACAAGTCCACACCAAACCTCAGAGCATCCCACCCAGACTCATCCCCCTTTAACCCACCTAATCTACACATCCCTATGGGCAATTTAGCATGGCCAATGCACCTAGCCTGCACACCTTTGGACTGTGGGAGGAAACCCACGCAGACACAAGGAGAATGTGCAAACTCCACACAGACTGTTGCCTGAGGCTGGAATCAAACCCAGGTCCCTGGCGCTGTGAGGCAGCAGTGCTAACCACTGAGCCGCCCTAAATGTACAAACTCCACACAGACAGTGGCCTGAGGGTGGAACTGAACCCAGATCCCTGGCACTGTGAGGCAGCAGTGCTAACCACAGAGCCACTGTGCTGACCCATAAATTCTGATTCCCTGACCAGGGATTGAACCTGGGCCGCAGCAGTGAGAGTGCTGAATCCTAACCACTAGACCACCAGGGATAGCAAATTTTGATCTTGTAGAGTACACAGCATAGAGTTGAAGAGTCATATATCTGATTTACCTGTTCGTGAGGGAAGCTCATGGAATAAACTGAATTATTCCATTCTAGCTCACCAACTCCCCATGAAAAATAATGCTAAATCTTGTCAGACTGGGAAGAAATGCCACACCAAATGAACATTACAACAGACATTTCATCAAATGTTATCCATTGTAGAAATAAGCCACATTCTTTGGTGCTGTTGTTTTTCTATGTCAGAAAGGGGTTTGTTAGCGTACTTTGCTGATGGTCAGCCTGAGTCCTGAATTCTGCCTGCATGTCTTGGAATAACTTTGTCTCATGATTTTGGAGCCATTTACATGCACAAGCATCTTGTATGACTGACATTCTGTCTCTCTTGCATTCTCTTTGCCAAGCTTTGTTGTTCTTCATGTTGTTATCAGGACAATTATGGTCATGTTGCTTGAATGCTGCACTCCTTTTCTTCCAAAACTGCTTCCAAATCTTCTTCCAAAGGGAATATCTCCATAACAGTGATGCTTAATTTTGTTCTAATATGTATTAGAGATAAAAAGCAAATTTGCTGGCTCACCTCCATTGTCAGATTGATTTTGTGTATTGGTGGATGAACATTGCTAATCGTCCTGGATATTTGCTGTATGTTCTCACCAAATATTGCTGCGGGTCTGCTATAGCCTTTGCCATAATGCCAACCTAGTTACGGTGCTAACCCTCTTGTCTCTGAATCAAGTGGAAAGTTGTACATTCAGATCCCACTCAGAGGCCTATGCACAAAATCTATCCTGATTTTTGAATGCAGTGTTAAAGCTGTTGCTGTATTATAATGACCCTTTGTTTTTTGGATTACATCTTAATGGAGGTTCTACCTGCAAGGATGGATTGTTGTAAAACATCCCGTGGAATTACGTAAAGTAAGGTAACCAGGTTCTCCCATGTTTCCTTTACAACGCTTACCTCTCAAGTTAATTGTTTTGGGATACCTTGAGGATGCAAATACTGCTGTGAATGTAAGTTTTTTCTTTTGAATGACATATAATTTGGGAACATGGAAGAACTATGGAGTTTCTACTGGAAGTAGTTTGCATGGAATGCAATTGGCTTCAAAATTCTGCACAACACCATGGTCTGTATATGGAAACATCACCATGGATAATTGCTGATGAGGTTGTGTGTACTTTTGAAATTGTAGGGGTAATTCAAAAATCACAACGTTCCTGAAAAAAGTCAAAGTGCCTTTGTCAGATCATCAATCATTGATACATTTTAGAGTAATTGGTGATTAAACATGAAACTTCTCCTGTTGAATAATATTTGAGCAGCAAATAATGTTAGGTACCAGTTCAGACGAATAGAAAGGACACAGAAAGTTTTTTTTTCATGTTTCGGGTCAATGTCAATTAATAATTAATACAGAATATTTTGAAGCAGGAAGCTCTGAATGTAATATGGCCAATTCCAGCTACAAGTAGAGAATTGTTTATGTCAATAAATATTACATCCAGGCCTCAGGAAATACATTTTAATTTAAAATGTATTTGTAAATGAAGTGTTCTCAGTATAAGTTTTTCACAGGCCTTTACCATTTGGTTAGGGCTCATGCCACATTAAAGTGTTACAATTTAAAATCCTGAGCAAATGATGACTGGAACTGAGTCATCGGTTTTGAGGGGACTCTTCCCACAGCTCTCTAAATAACTGTACCATCCAGTGAAGTACTAAGTCATAATGATCTAGAATCTTCAGGTTTCAATCTTTTGTCTAAACTAAGTTGCTGATCTTAGCTGGTAGAACCACTCTGAGTGGATTCACACTGAGCTAAAGACCAACAAAAATTTCCATTCCTTCCGTCCAATGAGACCCATGAGAAAGTCTATTTGTATGATCATTGCAGCCTGTGTATGCACTATTCATGCCAACCTATGCCACTGCAATTACTGACATGAGTCCTCATATTCCCTATGTCACCTTATGCCCATCTATCCAACCATCCCTTGACATCCCATACCTCTTGTGTTACACAATGTCTATCTCCCATGTTCCTTTATATTCCTGCTGCCAAATCAGTGCCAACTTAATCTCCCTTTATCCTCCACTCTCCATGTCAACTCATCTATTGTCCAACATTGGCACTAACAAGGAAGCATGATGTCAGAAAATCAAGTCTCTGGTTGATTGGTTATGTTACTATTGAAAAAAGCATACCCTTGCTGATACAAAACAAACATTCAATACAGAGAAAACAAAATATGCTGAGATCACAGCAGGTCAGGCACCATCCATGGAGAGAAAGCAAGCTATTGTTTTGAGTCTAAATGACTCTTCATCAGAGCTGAAGTGAGGATGGGGCAGCATTTATGCAATAGTTGGTGGGGGGCAGGTTGGAGTACTCGGGGAGAAAGAATGTTACGAGTTCAGATTAAGATTCAGATCACTCACAACAATTTGATAGGGCCCCCTTGTTCTCATTTTTCATCCTACCTGCATCCGCATTCAAAGGATCATTCTCCGCCATTTCAGACAACTCCAGCTAATCACTTAATTTGAATTCTCACCATCCTTTCTCCCCTAGCACTACAACCGTCACTCCCCAATGCATAAATGCTGCTCCTCCACACTTCACTTCAGCTCTGATAAAGAGTCATCTCGACTCAAAACGTTAGCTTGCCTTCTCTCCATGGATGCTGCCTGACTCGTGATTGACAGCATTTTCTTTTCAGCTCAGATTCCAGCATCTGCAGTAATTGCTTCTACATTCAAAACAGTGAAATTGCTTCAACAAATCCCCTCACTTAAGTGATTAATATTTTATGCTAACAAACATTTCACTCAAACATTTAATCCCTTATATCAATAACTTTTTCCACCATGAACCAGGTAGGACTGTGCATCAAAAGGCACTCTGTTGTGAAATGATAGTTTGGGCTATCAGTTTTTCAGCACAAACCCTATAATGGTTTAATATTACCAGACACCTTCATATACCTAACACTGTTTCTTTTTTATCTTTACATTTTCTTTTGGACAGTTTCTTGATAACTTTGCAGGTTCCAAAGAGTTAATGCACAAAAACGATGTTTGTTTTCAATCCCAAAGGGTGCATTACCCCCACCAAACACTTCCTGTGTGCAGATCCAAAGGGGTACATTATTCCTGCAAAAGCAGAGAAATGTAAGACATTCTTCCAGCACTCATGATCACAACTCCTTAACCCACATGTTCCATATGCTCCATCCATTCCCATCCACATAACTTAATGTCCTCTGCCCATCTTCCATAGCCTCTCATACTCCTATGCTGACTGATGACCTACCTCCACCCACTAACCTTTGCCTGTTCTCCTACCACGCCAATTCATTGAGTATCCTGGATACGTACAGCTCCTACAACACTCAAGAAGCACAATAATATCCAGGACAAAGCAGTCCATTTGATTGGCATCACATCCACAAACATTCACCCCCTTCCACACCCATTCTCTCCACAGCAGCAGTGTATACTATCTACAGGATGCATTGTACAAATTCACCAAGTCTCCTTAGATAGCAACTTCCAAGTCTACAGCCTTTACCACGAAGAATGCAATAGCAGCAAATTCTTGGGAGTGCCAGCATTCATAAGTTCTCCACAAAGCCACTCACCGTCCTGATTTGGAATTACATCACCATTCCTTCACTGTCGCAGAGTCAAAATCCTGGGACTCCCTCCTAGCAATACAGTAACTGTGGATGTTCCAATACCCCAAGGAATGCAATGGTTCATGAAGTTAGCTCACCATCCCTTCTCAACCACAATTTGGGATTTGCAACAAATTTTCACTTTGCCAGTGATGTTCATCTCCCGTTAATTAATTTTAAAATCCAGAAGTACCCATGCACAGGGGAGAAAGGTTCTTGTGACAGCTTCAAAAACAGAAATTCATAGAAAAACTCAGCAGGTCCGGCACCATCTGTGGAGAGAAATCAGAGTTAACATTTCAGGTCCAGTAACCTTCGTCAGAAGCCTGCTGTGCCATTCAATATGATCTTGGCTGATCATCTAACTCAATAACCTGTTCCTGCTTTCTGCCCTTTGATTCCTTTAGCCCGAATAACTATTCCTAACTTCTTCTTGAAAACATTCAATGCTTTGGCCTCAACCGCTTACTGTGGCAGAGAATTCCACAGGTTCATCTCTCTCTGGGTGAAGAAATGCCACCTTAGCTTAGACCTAAATGTCCTACTCTGTATCCTTAGACCGTGACCCCTGGTTCTGAATTCCTCAGTCACTGGAAACATCCTTCCTGTATTTACCCTGTCTGTTCCTGTTTGAACAGTATATATTTCTACAAGATCCTCCCCTCAACCTTCTAAACTCCAGTGAATATAGTCCTAACCAAACCAGTCTCTCTTCATATATTAGTGTCCACAGTTCTTTTGGTTTTTATTACCGATGTTGGGCTAATTGGTCTACAGTTTCTTGTTTTCTATCTACCTCCTTTCTGAAATAGTGGAGTTACATTAGCTACCTGGTAATACACAGGATCTGTTTCAGAGTGTATGGAATCTTGAAAGATGGCCAACAATGCATCCATCATTTCTAGGGCCACCTTTTAAGTACTCCAGGATGCAGATTATTGGGCTTTGAGGATTTATCTGCCTTTAATCCCATCAATTTCCCCAACACAATTTCCCTACTAACATTGATTTCCTACAATTCCTCCCTGCCATTCCATCCTGTGTTCCCCAATATTTTTATTTTGTTATTTGTGCCATTCTTTGTGAAGACAAAAGTATTTGTTTAATTGGTCCACCCTCTCTTTGTGCCCCTGATAAACAGCCATACTTCTGATTGTAATATGATTGTCTTCACTAATCTGTTTTTCTTCATATACCTGTATCTGATACCATACCTCTTAGCTGGTCTAATCTCCACACTCAAGATTCCACACACCAGGGATCCCAAAATCCCATTTTACTGGAGGCTGTTGGTCATTAAAAT